TGTATAGTAGTTGATATAACCGGAGCCTTTGTTGTAGCTGCATGTTGTTCAAATGTGTGCATGTCTAATTAATTTGTTATATACTGACAATTGTTCAAGTCGTTTAAATATTGTTATACCTTATACATTTTCCACTTTGGAAATTCCTTGAGGCAAAGTGTGTTCGGTTCTCCTCTAGATATTTTATTTGCACAAGAAGCATTGAAATAGACCTTTAGATAATGAAAGCACATAAAAAAACTATGTAATGTCGTAACACCTCAGATCTGTATCCATATTTCGCATGCGCACTAGTTTTATTTATTATTTCCTCCATTTCAGGTGGATATAGATATGGCTGATAACTGGTAAATAAAATCAACGAGAAACTAATTATAAACAAATGGAACGAATTGGAGCAAATAAAATTACAGTATTAAGGTGGCTCGGCCCTTTAACAGTGCGCATATTTTAACGCATGTTACTAACGACGAGCGCCTTGGAAACGGTCGCCTTGAGGGGTTTTCTCAAAAATAGTTTTGACGACCTTGGAACGCGGGCGTGTATGAAAGCACCCGTGTATGAAAGCACCCTTTCCCGATGTCAACAAACCATGCAAAACGTTCTACAAAAGCCACAGGAAATACGTACGGTCAGGACTACAGAGTGGTTTGTTCATTTTTCACATAAAAAGGACAGAATTATACATGATATATTAAAGCATAACATTAAAAAAAAGAAAATATAAATATTGACTTGTACGACGGTATCTGGTGCGTTCGCTCCAAAAACACATTCTCACCCTACACGTTCGCCCTTTGGATCCGTTCGCACCCTATTTTCATTTAAATACTGGTTGAATATATCAAAAGATGTCTTTTAGATGTATTAGTATGATATATGAAAATATTTTGCCAATGACGCAATGTTTAACCGTAAACAAAGGATAGCGATGTAAACTGCATGTCACCTTTCGGCTTTCAAAAACAAGAAAAACCCGTATAGTATGCTATAGTATAACGGCATCGGGGTTCATCTGCACGCTATATAAAATAATAAATAAGCTTTATTTAGAGTCGGCAAAGTGTACAAACAGAGTCAACATAAGCTCTAATGAGCTTTTAACCGTTTTATCCGTTTGGCGTTTTATAACATTTTGTTACTGTCATAAATCTCTTTTTTACTTGAAATATCTTCATTTCCAAGTATTGCTTGGATCTTATTCCGGAGTATGTGAAATATTTTCCCACTGCAAAATTTTGATAATATATATAGTTACGTATTTTTTATTTGCTAAAAATTTTTGAACATAACAATTCCGGAGTATGGGAAATATTTTAACACTGCAAAATTTTGATAATAGTTATAAAGTATTTTTTATTTTCCAAAATTTTTTTTTGACATTACAATTTTCAAACAAAGACTAAATACTTGACAGTCACACATAACATTTTAATTTAAAGATTTATATACTTTATCAAATAATGGGCACGAAAAATATCTAACAAATTTTCTCGTATCATGATTCTATGAAATTTGGAACTCTAGTACTATAACATGAGACCTCGGGGCCAATGTTTTCTATTTATAATATTTTCCTTTTACTTATTTTGCTATTTGTTAATTTTCTATTTTCTGTTGTATCTATCAATATGCCAACAGAGTTCGCATTAAAAAAAGAAAGAGGAAATATCAGCGTAAAAACTAAAATAATAGATTAAGAATGAGTTATTATTATAGACTAACGGAACTCGAGCAACACATTTTTTGTTTTACGCAGAAAAAAAACCGGACATTTCAATAATTTGCAGTTTTCAACCTTTGATCATGTAGATGAAAATTGGTCAATAGCAACCGGGACCTTACTAGTATTCCGGCCTTATATATCGGTATATGCTATTATCCCTCAATACCACATGCTTTGCGGCGCAAAATATTTGGCTTGAGCAAGTCGGGATTTTGCCTAGGACACACATCCGCAGTCTACCGGGCAGTTCCAAACACTACCAGTTAAAGACATTATATATACACAAAATCTATACTACTTACTAGGTTCAGGAAAAGTTGGGATTGTAATTTTAAAACTCCACCCAGTACACAGGGACGCTATAATAGTCGGTGATATTGGCAAACTTTAACTTCTGTCTTACTTTTTGACATGCGTTTTTTTCAAAAGGGAAGCTAATAAGGAAGGTTCTTGATTTAAAAAAATTAAAGTGGAGTGTGTCATTGCGGCAAGAAATATGCATGACAACATTTTTAATGATGTGTGAACACTGGTTTGACCCACCTGCTAGCTGCAAAGAAACGTAATTATCGGCCTATGATGATAATATGGAGATGCAATTTTTTTTAATATTGACTTTTAAATTTGAACTTTGGTGGATAGTTGTCTCTTTGGCAATCATACCACATCTCCTTATTTTCATATCGTAGGGTATAGAAATATGACTTCCCTAATCTGACAGATAATCCCTTGCTATGGCAGGGTGTTCATACAGCTGGATGTATAAATACCTCCGGGGGGGGGGGGGGGGTGGTAGGAGGGGGAACTTCAATACTTAATTGATAAGGGGTGCCGCTGGGGCCCACCTTTTTCAAAAATTTAGATTTCAAAAATGTATTCCTTTTCATATATTGCGTAGGTAAAAATGTAACCTTTTCCCTATAATGCTTGGGTTTCATGTAGTGTAATGTAAGACTAGAATACCAAAGTGTTAAAAGAGAAAATTTGGTTGATAAAATCACACCCGGGAACACCAAGAAAGATGACAGACGAAGAAGTTATGGAAACAATATTGACCTTATCATATATTTTTGATAGTTTTCCCGACTTTTTCACATATTTTCAGGGGCCTCGGTGGCCGAGTGCTATAAGTAGTTACTACTGTAATCACTAGCCAGTCAACACTGAGGTTGTGAGTTCGAACCCCGCTCGTGCGGGTGCACTCGACTCCAATCTTAATTGACTAGGATTGTCAGTTTTCCTATCGAAGGTCGGTGGTTTTCTCCGGGCACTCCGGCTTCCTCCACCAATAAAAACTGGCCGCCACGAAATAGCCCAAAAGCGGTGCTTAAAAGTGGCGTTAAAAACACAAAAAATCAAATCAAATCACATATTTTCAAGCTTGAAAAGGTCGGGAAAACCAACGGCACGTCCCATCACCTTGAATATAGGAAGTGCCCCTTACCCCACCCCCACCCGAGATAAATACGCAGCCTCGTATGGTAAAAAGGATGAATTTTGTCCATACCAAGCATGCATTGTCCATTCATTTTCTAGCGACAGTCCATACAATTTTTGTGTTAACAAGAGTGCACAAGCTGAAATGTCTCACCTGCTTTACTAATCATCATTCATGATTGGTTTTATGTTGATATTCCTAAAGATAAAGTTTCACTACAAGTATCAGAAAAAATTAATATTATCAATGATCATGAAAATGATCAGATAAACCAATCCAAGCCAGCCTTACACAGTGGCGGAGCCAGAATTTTTCATGAAAAAGGGGGGAGGGGGGGGACTGCCTAAGAGAGGCCTGCTCCAGTCATGCTTCAGTGATTCCCTATATAATCAACCAATGGGCCCTCCCCCTAAATCCGCCTCTGTTACAATCACCCCATCAACCAAATATTTTAAACATATATATAGTATGCCAGTAACAGAAAAATCCATGAACATAAGGTTAAGTTCAGATAGACCCTGCAAGACAGGCATATTTGTTTTTCATTCATAATTTTGTACATACGTATGCCATTAGTTTTCTCATTTGAATTGTTTTAAATTGTACATTTGTCATTTGGAGGCCTTTTATACCCAACTATGCAGTATAGGTTTTACTCATTGTCGAAGGTCGTATGGTGACATTTAGTTGTTTATTTCTGTGTCATTTGGTCTCTTGTGGAGTGTCTCATTTACAATCATATCACATCTTTTTACTTAATATTTCAATATATACATTTAATAATCATACCATACACCAAATATAATACTAGTAACCCATTGATTACACAATGTAGCATGTTAAAAGAGGACTTACCATTGACCAATGAACCATGCAAATGTGGCCATGGTCAATGACAATTGCCAGACAGACATGTACTCCTTACATTTGTGAATCATTGCATACATATAGTTTATCTACTACATGTACTTTTAGTATTAGAAAAAACAGACAAAAACACAAAAACATGACATTGACAAATGACCTATTGCTAACAGTATCTGATAAACAACCCTAATCAGGTAACTTTAACCTTGAAATGTGCTTGAGATTTTTGTAGCAATCTGTATTAATTTGAGTGCATATCTAAATTTACAAAACAAAATTAATCTGGATTATTGTGATACTGTAAATTTAGAAATTATTGTGAGGTTATTATTAATGCAAATAATGCGACAGGGTGAATATCGCAATAATAAGAACTTGCATTCTGATAACTGAATTATAGATCTTTATGCAGATTTTTTTTGTAATCGCAATAATTAAACTCGCAATTTAGTCCATTCGTCAAAAGTCAAAATAATAAATGCACGCAATAATTTCTGAATTTACAGTAGGTAAAAATGTTGTCAGTTAATAGTGAGACACAAGTTTTCCCAGACAATATATAATTCTTTTGGTTGTTTTGTTTGGTTGCTGTCTCATTGAACAAACCTGTATTTTATTTCTCCTTTTATCCAGAAAATATAACTTTTGAAATAGAAACTGAATAGCATATGGATGGAAAACAAATGCCAAATGATGTAAAATAATTCAAGTGGCCATTTAGGTCAGGGGTTGGTGAGGTAAAAGATGAGGCAAAGGCATGTGCATTTACCACAACTGCCACTTGGTATTATGATTTCCAAAATTTCCAAATCTCATAGCTACCTTCTGTATAAAAGACAACTGCATATATTGCAGTTTGCATATCATGAATTGTGTTTGCAGCAAAATTCACTACAGAAAGCAAAAAAAGCTCTATTAAAATTCATTTTTTGAAAATTTTTGATTTTTATTCCTAAAATGTCTATGAGATCAAATTTATAAAACATTTATTAGCATTGTAAATTTCAATATACCAGTAATTGTTGACATGTATACATCATGTACATGTACAATCATTAGCTGATCAGCTCTATATTTTCATTATTTTTATATCAATATTCTTCATCAGTGTTTTTTATTAGACTCAATAATCTGTATTCATCATTGGGACAAGTAGGTAAAGTAGGTCCTTTTGATCTTGGATTTTTTTTTATGGATTTTGACAGCACTAAAGCATATAGTTCCAAATTATAGTTGATCTTGGTTTCTTAAGTGGATTCTGACAACACTTTGCATATAGACACCAAGTGTAGATGATCTTGGGTTCTCTCATATGGATTCTGACAGTACTTTGATTATACATGTAGTTCCAAGTATTGTTGATCTTGGCTTCTAATGTTGTTCTTAAGTTTCTGCACTTTACATATAGTTCCCAATTGCAAGACAAGATGATACTGGCTTCTCGTGTAAATTCTGTCAGTTCTTTGCCAATAGTTTACAAGTAAAGTTGAACATTCCAGGATCTTTCACAACAAATCACTCCTTCCTCTTACATGTACTTGAAGCCTGAAATTAAATGATTAAATGTCAGATAAATTCTGTCAGAAAATCAACCATGATTGACATTTAAAAGCATAATGCAGTTCATATTTTAAATAAATGGGGAATGTGTCCATGGGACACAGATGATGCCCCCACTTGCATATAAAGTTATAAAGGAGCATAACTAAAGAACAGTACGAGTGACATTACCCAAAGTTTTACTTGATCTGAATTTTGTTGTAATAAGTAATGTATATAAGTTTCATAACATTTGGATGAAGCAAAATAAAGTTAGAGAACAGAAACAAAAAATTCAGCAATTTTTCCATTTGTAAAGGGCATAACTCTAGAACAGTAAAAGTGACACCACCAAAAAAAATTCAAACTTGATCTGGGTTTGTTGGTAATAAGCATTGTGTATAAGTTTCATAACATTTGGTTGAGGCAAACTGAAGTTAGAGAACGGACACCAATTTTGGGACATACATACAGACAGACAAGGGTAAAACTTAATGCCCACTCCACTACGGCGTAAAAAAATGAATTTGTGGCAACAATAATGAGCAAACAAAATAAAATTACATGCACAGCAAGTGTAAATAGTGATTTTGTTTTTATACATACATTTGTATGTTGAATACAGACTTCTCAGGGCATGCTGTTTCGATGCCAGGGACAAGTTATTTCTATGCCTAAAAATTCTAAAATGCAGCTGAGCTACATTTGTACTCCTCGTCAACCAAATTATGCTGAGGTGTTTTGTAACCTGTTTGGAATATGGGATATACAAATTTTGTGTTTAAAAATACTAAGCACAAAACAATAATGAATTTTTCAACTCAAATGTATGTGTTATTTGGTAAACAAGATAAGCCCTACGTGTATGTTTAAACCTGATACTTGACGTTATGAAATTTTTTATACAAAAGAGAGACAGGGGGGGGGGGGGGGGTGTTTAATTGTAAACAAATTGTGATCAAGACGAATCCATCAATAAAATGTATTGCCTCGTACTGTAGTGGTTATAATTTACAAATCAGGCCGTTTATATATTCTCAAGAAAACAAACAAAACAATCGAACCCCTTGAGCGGGTAGTCCTATAATATATGCCTTCGCATTATATATTCACTATTTAACGTTTTCATGCTGATATTTTCATTTTTTTTTTGGAGGCACATTGACAAAAAAAAAAAAGAAGAAAAATAGCAAAATCAGTAAAAAGAAAACAGAAATAGAAAATAATGCCCCCGAGTTCATATATTATAGGACTACTTGAGCGGGTGGACAGGGATAAGGGAACATGGGAATGAGGGATCAGGAAGCGAGAAAAGGGGGTATCATGTGCAGGTCCGTTACCGTTAATTAGCCTGGTCTGAGTGAAAATAAAAGTAACCAATTTGGTAGAAGTAAATCTTATGAAGATTATAAATAGAAAAAAAACCTTAGATCTCGTGTGAGTCACTTTATTTTTAAACAATAAAAATAAACTTAATATATCTTTATTTTATTGTCATAGAACTATACTAACAAAAGCATGATTTAGATAAAAGGAAGGGTACAATCAGACTCAGGGTGGGATGAACGTGAATTGGAGCGAACATGATTTTGGGTGAAAGGACAAGAATTCGAAAAGAGGGGGGGATGAATAATCTGGGAAATATATTTTGCAATTTTTTTGTCTGGGAGCAAGGGGGGTGGAAGTAGAAGTTAGGGGAGAAAATTTTAGAGTAAAAGGGAAGAGAAATGGGAGTTGGGGATAGGGAGTGGTAATCATGAACCCCTGTCCGAGGGAAGTTATGGGGTACCCATTTTACAGATTGGGACCAAACCCTCTATATGGTTTTCAGGGGTGGATCCAGCCATTTATAAAAGGGGGGGGGGGTTCCTAACCCAGGATAAAGGGGGAGTTCCAACTATATGTCCCCATTCAAATGCATTGAACGTCAAAAAAAAAGGGGGGGTTCCAACCCCCTGAACCCCCCCCCCCCCCCTGGATCCGCCACTGGTGTTTAAATCTGTATAGAGGAATAATCCTTCTATAGAGGGGAATTTTTGTTTAGACTGGATTTAAAGCAAAATAGGGCAGAATGGCATTTTCTACTTATTATGGCAGTAACCTGCTACATTTGATGCACCAACTGATGTACTTAATTTCATTTCACATGCCCAGTTTACTGCTAAACTGACTGAATATACAATCTATTGTACACCATAATTGAAAGCTGTGATGATCAGGTAAATTCCACTCAGTTATGCCTCACTGAACAGAATTTCTATTGTTAGATTTAACATAAAATTTAAAGGTCAACTGATGTCCCTTTTGTTGTTGATCAGGTGTTCAGATACATGTAGGTATACAATAGATTGCAAGTTCTGTCACTTTAGCAGAAAACTGGGCATCCCAGGCCATTTTTTGGTAAAGAAATACAGAATACAGTAAAGTGCAATAATTGATGCATATATAGTGCTATAGATTATAGCAAATATAACTAGAAAATGCCATTCTGCCCTATTTTGCTTTAAATCCAGTCTAAACAAAAATACCCCTCTTTTATCCCTCTAGAAGGATTATTCCTCTTTACAGGTATAAACACCATGTAGAGGGTTTGTTCCCAACCTGTTTTACTAGTCATTATAGACGCTAACGATAAATATTTAACTTCATTTGACCCTTAGGGAGCTACCATTTGATTTTTATGGGGGGGGGGGGGGGGGGGGGGGGGGGCTAGGATGAAATTTGAAAAAATAGGCAGGACAGGAGTTTGGAGTAAAAAAAAAATTCAGGATGAGCAACACGGGTAAAAAAAAAGGCAGGTCCAAATAGAGTTAAAAAAATAAAAAGGCAGGACAGAGATTACAACTAAAAAAAAAAGCAGGACAACATTTTTCATCCTAGCCCCCCACCCCCCCATAAAAATCAAATGGTAGCTCCCTAACGTGGTTACGAAATTAGATTTTACGAATGACGATATAAAATCAAGACTTATTTGACGCTAACGATAGCGCTGATCATGAGATGCTGAAAATGACCATCCCCTCCTCTTTGACTGTTCGACACGGATATTTTTTCAAAACAGGCTATACATGTTCACAACTTGCCAGTTAACAGGTTAAGGGTCAAGTAAACACGTAAATAAGATACCAGCCATAACGATTATACATAGAACAGAAATTTAGCCCATGCAAGGTTTCAGCCGCAGTGATTTTCTACAGTATCGAGTATTTTGAGATAACCCCCCACTTTGTTTTTTTCGTGATACTGATAACATTTGGCTGTCTAATATATTAAAATCGATGTTTTCTTATGTAATGACTCTACCTTCATCGTTGTCTATTCGCCGCTATGTCTGTTATTCATGCACATGGTCGTATTTATCAATGCAGTATGCTGCTCAGCAATGGCGACCCTGAAATTTCTGTTGTCCGATTATGGCGCCAGATTAGAGGGAAGCAACTCGCGCCAGACAAAATTACCGTATTTCACCAAAATAATCAAAATTTCGCTTTTTTATAACAAACAGTAAAATGTTCATCACATTTATATTCAGCTTTCGTCCATTGATATAATTACAAACATTATTTATTTAAAGACATTGATAAAAAAATCACAATCAAGTAATTAATGGAGTGCATTGAAATCAGACCTCATGGGGTAGAGGGGTTAAACAAAAGCTCGTAACTTTTTTAAAAGCCTGGTGACCCCCATTTTATTTTACCTTAAAATGCTCGAAAAGTTCATAGCTTTGACATATCCGTTTTTAAAAAAAATCTACCGGGGAAATTTTACGAAAAATCGATTTAACCAATATTTTTAGCCTTAAACTGAAATTAAAAAATGCCAAATTTAGACATAAATCTGAAAATAAAAGGATTTTTAAGTCTAAAACAACCAAGGGGAACGTTTACATTTCAAATTTAATTGTTTTTTCACATAATAATCATACTGACATGGTTCTAAAAGTCTTTGAATTTGATGTAGTCGTTATTGTTGAAAGGGTGTAAAAGTTTGGAAATAGGGTCAAAATCGCACAATTCGCTTCCATTTGAGGGGAAAACGAGCCTGGTGACCCCCTTTTTTCTTTGCATTTTTGGATTCAGCATAAAAAAATCTACAAAATATGTGAAAATAAAAAAATTCTACCGGGGGTCCTTATTGGGGTGAGCCACCTTAATCGAAACAAATTAACATGGTAATGAATGACTACATAAACTAAAAAAAAAATGATTGGAAAAGCTGATGTGAATGACTGTAAATGTGTACTTAACATCTTAAAGTAAATAAATATAGCTTTGAAACTTTATCGGCCTACTGTTTTTATGAAGAAAAAAATGGTTTTGTTATGAAAATCACCGGTCTCTTCCAATAAACAAAATACGTACTAACAAAAATCAACAACACATCATATATGTACATGTACCATGACTCCCTACGCACATAAACTAAATTAAACAGTGACGTTTACACATTCATAAAGTTTATACCGCGCTTCTCTTTAGTTTAATTAAAAAACATTCTACTTCCATATTAACTGTTTAAGATGAAAAAACAAATCAATTGAAATTTTCATAATCTTTATGAATGTGGGTCAGTACAGTTAATACATCTATATGTTACAGGCTTTATCTAAATTTAGGGAATTTGTAAAACGCCTAAAAAATTTAGTAATTTTCTAAAATCCCTAAGCTGTTTAGGCAATTTAGTTGTTTATTAGGCAAATGAAATGTGCACAAAACTGAGCCAATGAAACTTTGAACATCAAAGCAGCAGATTATTCTATGATAAATACTTAATTCAACAGCATGCATTTTAAGAGTTTAAACAATTAAAAATAAATTCTACTGGGTTATAGAAATGAGAATGGAAACGGGGATTGTGTCAAAAAGACAACAACCCGACCAAAGAGCAGAAAACACACCAAGGCCACCTATGTGTCTTCAACACAGCGAAAAAATCCCTCACCTAGAGGCAGGTTCAAGCTGGACCCTGAACAAAAATGAACACTAGTTCATAGAAAATGGACGTCACACAAATCCGAAACATATAAATGAACCGAAATTAAACAAACATACAAGACTAACAATGGACAGAGGTTCCTGACTCGCGACAGGCGCAAAGATGCAGCGGGGGTTATACATGTTTTGTGATATTTCAACCCTCCCCCTATACCCCTAGCCAATATAGAATAAACAAACACACAGCAATACGCACAGTAAAACTCAGTTTAAAAGAAATCCGAGTCGGATGTTAGAATATGTACAATTCCCACTGTTGCTAATCTCAACAATTATTTATTATTTCATGTTTTTATGTTTGGAATGTGGGATCTATTTCACATTTGTAACATTGACTTACATATGTGAAATATATTTGACGTGACTCTGTACTTATGTATATCGTCATACTGTGTACCACACAATTATTTTATTTTATTTATTAATATTAATTTTACTGTAAGTCTGTTTTTTGTTATATTCATTTTACGTGACTCTGTATTTATGTATCCCCTCTTACTTTGAACGACAAAATTATTTTATGTCTACCTGTGCGAAATTCAAACGCGCGATTTTACGCCAGTACTTAAAACCTTCCATCCTTTTTGGGTGGATTTTACATATATAAATAAAATCGTATAATATAAGCAAAATGAGGATGTTAAATTTGATGTATGCCTTTTTGTGCTTCTTTGTTACATTTGTTTGTTTTTATGGTGATTAAGATGATAACACAATGTTGATAGCTGTACCACTATTTTTGACAGTTTTACATATTGTGTCTGTTTGTTTTGTTCACGCATCGTTGTCAATATAATGGAATTTGATGCGACTGTCATACAAGTGAGAAGTTTAGCTAGCTATAAAACCAGGTTCAATCCACCATTTTCTACATAAGAAAATGCCTGTACCAAGTCAGGAATATGACAGTTGTTATCCATTCGTTTGATGTGTTTGTTTTTTTGATTTTGACATTTGATTGGGGACTTTCCTTTTTGAATTTTCCTCGGAGTTCAGTATTTTTGTGATTTTACTTTTGACATGGTTAATAGCAGTGCAATTATATTTAAATTTATCCATCCAAATGATTGACAGGGTATCGATCTAACAATAAACCCATCCTCCAGTCAAATCCATGCTAGAAATATGAACCTGTTTTGCTCTGTGGCTGTAACCTATTCTTTCCGAATGGAAACTTAAAATTTGGTGCCTCGTGTATGAACGGGATATGTTCTAGGCATGTGAAGAACTATTTGATGATCGAAAGGTGGCGTATTACATGTCAGTATTTCTGTCCCTTTTTCTCATGCTTCTATCGGCATTCAAAATCCTTGTCCATTATCTTGTTTAATCCATTACAGAACCTATTGGATTTATCATTAACGCGTTCTAGTCCTAATTATGCACGTATAAATATTTGCCACTGAACATTTAGCAACAACAATCAATCATTTTTTTTCAAATTAGTTTCGTCTCCAGACAAAACATGTACACTTCTGGTTATAATCCAGATTTCCTCAAAATTTGTTTTAAAATCTTTGTTCAATTGTAAGAACAATTTTCCCTTCTAACCTCATTAAAAGCAGATCATAAAATGACCCTCTAAAAAAACAGAAAGACGAAGAAAAAATCACAAATCACTTCATAAAAAATGTTTAGACTAAGTAACACGAAAGCAACTAACAGCTAGGGGCGAACTCATGTTTTCCAAAAGGGTAATAATTTCCTGCTAATAGTTACATCCGTCTATTATTGTTTATAGTAAGCAGGAAGTAAGTGGTAATTCTCATTCGGTTATGACATGACAATCGAGGACATGAGGACGGGATAGTGGATAAACAATTGAAACATGTCCGTGTCATTTGGGACATAGATATTCTATAACTAACTCGTGATGGCATCTGTAAACTTTTGAATGGATGAATCCGACTTTACCAAATGGAATAACCTCTCTGTAAGCAACTAAACGTTATCAAGGAAACCATTATATGAAACGCTAACTCAGAAATTCTATATCGACCGAGAGATATACACTCCATAAACAGGCCCTGCTTGAATATTGCTACATGGACAATTTATCACGTTTTTTCACAAATTTCATTATTGTTCAGAATATTCGATTGAAGTCAATTAAGATATATTCAGTTTATATTGATACTTGATATTTACTTGTACACATCCGCATAATACTGAATTTTCTATAAACTTGTAAACTTTGCTGAATTGACAGCAAGCGTATTGTCCGAGCAGCGATGGATAAGTCTAAAAACTGACTGAAAGACTAATCATGATTAAATACGTTATTGGTCAGTACTATTCTATGTATGTTAAGATCAAAATGGCCGTTTTAAACTGAAATTCAGTTACTAGGAAAATGCATTGCATCGTATAGACTAGAAGTGTCTCCTTTACTAGTTATCAGACTGCAACAGTGGATAAATACAATTTGCAACCATTTACCAAAACTAAATCCATTTGTTCTAGACGTCTCTTGGTATTTTGATCATACATATTATTTTCTATGTGAATTCGTTATTTTAACTCTTACTTAAATGATGTCAGCTATAATTAATACAAATATGTTATTACGTTATAGATAAAGCCGATTTTAAGTTTTTTCTTACATCAAAGTGGAAAATTCTGTTCTTATGTGTTTATTTATAACCACACTTAACGGTTCAAATATAAGGTGAAATACAACTCATCTTTCTAGATTGTAAACAATGATAAAAGTTATATACCACTTCTGATTTAAATAAGAAAAAAATAACTGTAATTGTCTGATGTTAGAAACAAATGAATTGTTTCGGTGCATGTAAAGTTCACTTTATAAGTAAAACACTATATTATCCTTACAAACGGGGGTGTTTTGTTTTTCTCTCTTGTTTGGTGACATCATTTTTCCGTCCTCTTTTTTCTAATGTAGTATCACCCCATAGCCCAAATAGCCCCCATTTTTGACAAGGTTGGTGTTGCTCAATCTTTAGTTTTATATTTTGTGTTTTGTAGACTTTTGTTTTTATTTTTCTCGTTTGTAATGTTTGCTCAGGCGTTGCCAGTTTGTCATCAATTTATGAGTAGACGTATCCATTTGGTTATTTTCGCCAACTTTTTACCGTTGAAAAACAGATTAATTTTTTAAAGTGTTATGAGAGTTTTGCAATATAAATTTCATATCTATTATATACCTACATGGAGTTATTTTCTTTCAGTACGACAGGTCATTCTTTTGGAGAATCAACCCGGACGATACCAAGTTACAATGAAATGTGCTTCAAGGCATATAAAATGACCTGTATAAGGTCATTATTGTCCTGATTAAAATGGAATCTTTAATTTACTTAAACATTTGATTCGTTTGATAGGTATCGTGTGTTGTTACCAATTGGTGGTTTTCTTTTTAATTTTCCATATTTCGTAGGTTGAAGAAAGAAACAATCTTTTCCTCCGTTCATTGGACTGAAATACCAAAAATCGTCGTTGACGCACATTTTAACCTACGGAAAAAAATACTGTTAAGTTTTGTTAGTTTATTTCAACAATAAAGGCACATTATATGAGATGAATTTAATAATGCAAAACTTTTCATAACA